TGTGACCACATTTTTTGTGACTATAACAAGGAAACCGATTCAGAATTTCTCTCTTTCTGAGAATATGCTCTGTGACTGACAGAAAACTCAGAGGAGACGATTCCAAGAAGATCCACATCAGCCTGGCAGTCGCTTTGATCCTCCTCAACGTTCACTTCCTCTCCAGCCAGGCGGCAGCAGCATCGTCCTCCACTGAGCTTTGTCTCTATGTGGCTCTTCTTCTTCACTACTCCCTGCTGGCCTCTTTCACCTGGATGGCCTTGGAGGGCTTCCACCTCTACCTTCTTCTGGTCAAAGTCTTCAATGTCTATGTGAGACGATACCTGCTGAAACTCAGCGTGGTGGGATGGGGTGAGTGGCATTGTCTGAATTTGAAACTTAATGTCTGCAGCCTTCAGTTAAGGTACCAGTTGTTGTGTTTCAGGTCTTCCAGCTGTGATTGTGTCAGTGGTGGTGATCATCGACAAGAACTTGTATGGCCGTACCCCTGTGATGTTATCTAGACCCAATGAAACTGAAATGTAAAGTAAACGACTGAACCTGTGCAGTAAAATCTAGTCCAGCACTAAATTTGTTGTTTGAAAAATGATTTCCATGTACCTTTGTGCGTTCTTTAATTTAAGAAATGCATTTTGTCTGTAAACATATTACTACATTTTTTCCATCCACTTGATGTAGAATTTAATTTCTTCTGTGACTGTGCTTCTTGTCTGTGTAGATGCTATATAACCGATGAAAGAGTGAAGCTGGGGACCACCCTGGGGCTGTTCAGCATCATGTTCCTCTTTAATGTGATCATGTTTGGAGTGACAATCAAATGGTTTGTGAGCACCCACTTTACCAAACAGGTAATTGTTAAATAACAGCAGAACTATATATATATATATATATATATATATATATATATATATATATATATATATATATATATATATATATATATATATATTTAAATACCAGCACAAGGGAGGCTCCTATCAATGTGATACTCAAAAGTTTGTCTGCAGAGTGAGATGTGCCATCCTGCTGTGTTCTGATGCAGTTACAGCAGAGGACACTGTAGTCAATACCAGCTAACCTAAGACCAAGCCAGGACCAAGACCAGAGCACTACACTACATGACACAATATCATATTAATCACATTAGCTGATATTAGCTCATGACCAAGCTAGGTGGCAAAAAACTAACAATTATCAGAAGCTTTTGCCATAAAATATACAGTATATACCCTATACTGTACACTGGTTGCTAACTTTATGTACAGTATATACAGCTCTGGAAAAAAATAAGGGACCACTGCAAAATGATCAGTTTCTCTGATTGTACTTTTTATAGGCATATGCTTGAGTAAAGTGAACATTGTTCTTTTATTCTATGAACTAATAACATGTCTCCAAAATTCCAAGCAAAAATTTTAGTATTTATTTGCAGAAAATGAGAAATGCTCGAAATAATGAAAAAGATGCAGTGCTTTCAGACCTCAAATAATGCAAAGAATTCTTATTCATGTAGAAACAACAATACTAAAGTTTTAACTCAGAAAGGGTTCAGAAATCAATATTTGGTGGAATAACTATGAGGCTTTCAATGAGGTTCAGTACAGTGGGGATGTTTTTTTTTTTTTTTTTTTTTTTGGCCGTTTTTTTCCCCGTTCAATTTGCCAACAAAAAACCCACCAACTTGGGGGGGTCTGGGGTCT